TCAGCATTGATTCTGCTTGGGTCCCAGAGCTCTCAGGAGTGTCCTTTGAAATCTAGATCTGCTTGACTCACTAAATATCATCCTGTTCATCTCAAAATTGTCAATCATGTCTTTGATTTCTGTGATGATATTCAGCTTTATATTATAAAGTTTGTGGCTAATCATTATCTGTGCTCTAAGGGTTTACTACAACTAGCTCTTATTTCTTTGGTATCAGTCACATTGGCTTGGCTCATCTATCTGATTATTCCTATTTATTCCTATTGAGACTTGATATTGAATATGAACAAGTCCAGAGGAGTAATTTGGAGTCTGTGATGATGTTATTCTCACAGATGATGATGTTAAATCAGAGATGATTTATTTTAGACCATTCTAGGCTGGCTGTAAATTCCTATGATAACCAGCCTATTTTTAGTTCACCTGAGGATCCAAAGCTTGGAGGTTCCAACACAAGTGACCTTTCTCAGCAGGCCACTATGCCTGGTCTTTGTTCTCCCTTTCTTAAGCATCTGCCAAAAACCCTGTTCGACTTCTCAGCTTTTCTGCTCCTTTACTTGAATTGGGCAATGACCCATGGAAATAGGTAGCCCAGATTTCCATCCTTGGGATTTTGGCCCCATACTTTTCTCTAGAGCCATTCAGTCTTTGACATATGTTCTATGTGGTTGGGTTGTGTGCCATTTCTTGGCCTGTCTCTATCAGTAGTGAAGCATGAACAGCAAACAGTCTTTGATATGAGAGGTAAGACTGTTGTTAGAACAGCAGCTATTGTGAAAAAGATTATGCCTTTCTTTTAAGCATATTTAAAAGAGTATGTTTATTTTATTTTATTTATTTTTTTGGTACCAGGGATTGAACTCAAGGGCACTCAACCATTGAGCCACATCCCCAGCCCTATTTTGTATTTTATTTAGAGATGTGGTCTCAGTGAGTTGCCTAGCACCTTGCTTTTGCTGAGGCTGGCTTTGAATTCGCTATCCTCCTGTCTCAGCCTCCCAAGCTGCTGGGATTACAGGCGTGTACCACCGCACCCAGCTCAAAAGAGTATGTTTATAAAATTTCATTCATTCAAACATTTATTCAACCAATAGTTACTAGGCTCCACATTATTCAATAATTTAGATTTATGGGTTCTGGAAGGATTATGTGTGGTACATTTAAGCTAAGAGTTTAAGATGAAGTCAAATTCAGCCAGATGCACACAAAGGGAATGCTCATTCCAGGTGGAAGGGAAAGAATGAAGATGTTGAGATGCAAAAGGTCAACATCACACAGCCAAGAGACAGAGTCCTCACAGCCAGCATTGGACTTGCTACCTTGCGTGGGCATCTTTCTATTTCAGATGCAACATGTAATCCTTTGTTCTGCACAAACACAATGCAACCTATATGCACAACATATGACACCTGGCCAGCCTCATTGCTCTATCTGCCCCTTGTGGGGAGGGGACAAGGTTACTATAGCATGAGACAGATTGTGCCTACCAATATCCTGTGTCAGCTCTAGGAGGAACCCATGGCTGTGGGGGTTTGATGCCCCCTATTGGAGCTAAGCTTGCTGTCTCTGTGTGAGTGAAGTCTTCTACAAAGTACTTGTCTTCATGTTTTCCTGGTGATTCCAATACCGAGATGTAGTGAGTGGAGGTGCTCAGGTTTCTACCACCAGGAGGTGAGAGGCCACAGATGCCACCTCTATGACTTTAATTCTGTATTTTTCCACTTACATTGAGCTATCATTTACATACAGTAAGATGCACAATTTTCACTTCAATAAATTCTAACATGTATATTCATTCACCTGGGTAACCGACATCCATCCTAGAATCTTTCTGAAAAAAATCTCAAAAGACACCCTCTGTTCCCTTTCAGGTTCTACTTCCCTAAACGTAACCTCTATTCGGCCTACAACATCTTCACTTGGCTTTGCCTGTTTTTTGAACTTTGTTTCACTGGAATCACACAACATGATTCTGGCATTTTGGTCTTAGATTGTTTCTGTAAGATTTATTCATATTGTGTATAGCAATTGCACAAAAGATTGCTATTCTGCATGGGCTTCTGGAGCTAGCAGACTGCACATGCATTTAAAGGTTCTATGTGAGAACAAATCCTCCTCATACTGCATCACATATTTGTAAGGTAGTATGAGAATCTTGGATACTCTAGCTTCTCCAATAACAATGAATATGTCAATCATTTCCTGGCTCGGAACAGTGTCCGTGGTTCTGCAAACTGAGGGCCAACATCTGCACACTGAGGACCAAAGGTCTAGATGCTATTAGCAAAATGGAAATCAAACAAGCCATAAGAACCATCCAGATATGTCCCTTGTTAGCTACAATTCATACTAATTTTTTATAGTAGCACATTTGCACTCTCACCAGTTTAAGTGCAGCAGTTACTTTACATCCTGTCACTACTTGGTAACGTCAGTCCTTTAAATTCTGGTTTTAATTTGTAGCTACCCAATGATTAATGATGTTAAGTTCATTTTTATGTTTAATGCCAAATTGAATGTTTTTAAAACTTCTTTACACTTCAGATTCACAGCAAAATTGTGCTTAAGGTCCAGGGCATTGCCATATCCCTTCTGCTTCTGCTCCTGCACAGCCAACCCCATTACTAACACCCTCCACTGTGGTACATTCTTACAGCTAATGAGCCTGCACTGACATATCACTTCGGTCCAGAACCCCAGTTCACATCAAAGTTCACTGTTGGTATTGGACATTCTATGGGTGTGGACAATTATGCAGTGACATGTATTCACCACACATGCCCCACCTATTTATCTGTCTTTTCCCTCTCCCCTCTTGCCAACCACTCATTATTCCTGTTTTTCCTTTCCTTTTCCTTTTGGTTGGAATCAGACAGTATGCAGTCTTTTCCTTGACTTTTTTCACTTGGCGCTGTGCATCTATTTTTGTAGCTTAATAGCTCATTTATTTATAGCACTGAATAATTAATATTCCATTATCTGAATATACCATTTGTTTATTCTTTCACCTTTATGAAAATAAAAAAGAATTATGTGCTAAGATTTAAATTTGGGAGTCTAAAGCATGTCACTGATAAGGTAAAAAATGTGTGACAATTGTAAAGCATAAAATTATTTGTCATGATATTTAAATGCACACAAATATATGGTCAAATCCATTCTGTACAATGCATAAGTACATGGTTAGGGCTGCAAAAGCATCCAGTTTTGGGTCAAGGAAGAGATATAGCTGAAATTAAAAAAAAACAAATTAAAAAGGCAAAACCAAACCCACCTGTCAAGGGATTCAGCATACCTCAACCCACAAGGGAGCCCCCACTATGGTAAGGTCCGACATATGGGACTGACCCACCTGAGGAAATGTTTTATTCTTCATAAAGCATCCTCAAGGGAATGGACAGAAGGACAAATGTCACCTGAAAACTACCCTAGGCATGCTCTGTTGGCGTAATTACAGCCATCTTCCTTTCCTCACCCCCACTTTATGAATGCTGTTCTTATTCTCAAGAAATAGAAACTCACCCGAGATAAAAACTTACTGGTCTCTCCTTGAGAGAGAAAAGATATGCCCATGTCTGTTCCCAACGAACAGAAACTTGCCTTCTGCAAAGTCAGGTGATGCTTGCTATGCCAGTCACAAGGGCTAAGCCCGCCCCTAACGCACAGCCATGATTCTCGACTATAAAACGTAATGCTCAAGGGGGAGATGCTGTTGCTCTCCCTGTCCTGCCGCTCTCCCTCTTTCTGCAGAGCAATCTTTCAGGGGCCTAACAATAAATCTGCTTACGACCCTATCCTTGGAATGTGGCTGTGTGATCAGTCCTGCACCTGTTTTCTTTCATGCCCCAGTTGTCTGCTAACATGCCTAAGCTTCCAGAAAGGCACTGTAAGAAAATAACTTCCCTTCCTTCCTCCCTTATTCTCTGGCAATATGAGTATGGAAGACAATCTCATAAACCACCTCTGCTTTTTCCGAATGGGAGCTGGCAATGGTTTGTCTAGAATCAAATAATTGAATATTTTGGAGACTAAGAATTTTAGTTTATGAAAAAAAGTTAAAAATCTGTTAGCTTTCAAATTTAGAACGAACATACCTAAATTCTTGCCTTTAGGGTCAGAAGTAGGTATATTCCAGGAGAATATTATTCTTCATAAAAAGGCAGTGGTTCAAAGGAGTTAAGTCATTTATGCTTATATGTGCTGCAGTGGCACACTAGTAATGTAATAGTAATATCTGACACTTGCTAGTACTTACAAAGCACCAGGTAGCAATTTAAGACTGCATTGTCCAATTTAGTAGCTACTCCTTATATGCAGCTATAAAGTAATCACATGTGAGGAGTCTAAAACTTCCTAGAAAATAAAACTAAAGAACTATTTGAAATTTATGGCATTTAACATATTTAAGATACTATAGACAGGGGCTGGGGATGTGGCTCAAGCGTAGCGCGCTTGCCTGGCATGCGTGCAGCCTAGGTTCGATCCTCAGCACCATATACAAATAAAGATGTTGTATCAGCCGAAAACGAAAAATAAATATTAAAAAATTCTCTTTCATTAAGAAAAAAAAAAAAGATACTATAGACAGGGCTGCAGTTGTAGCTCAGTGGTGGAATGCTTGCCTAGCATGTGTGAGGCACTGGGTTCAATCCTTAGCACCACATAAAATAAATAAAAGCATTGTGTCCATCTATAACTAAAAATATTAAAATATAGACTATAGATGGAGTTGGATGTAGTGGCGCAGGCCGGTAATCCCAGTGGCTCAGGAGGCAAAGGCAGGAGGATGACGAATTCAAAGCCAGCCTCAGCAACTTATTTAGGCCCTAAGCAACTTAGCAAAACTGACTCAAATAAAAAATAAAAAGGCCAGGGGATTTTACTCAATGGTTAAGCAATGCCTGTGTTCAATCCCTGGTACCAAAAAAAAAAAAAAAAAAAAAAAAAAATAGAGGTCTAACCTATTATTTTATTAATATTTGACAAACTAGACAACAGTATTAAAATGTGGTAACTGTTTATTGTGTTTGCTTCTCAATAAAATACTTGTTACACAGTCTTAAGTTATAAGTTAATTGTTCAGGATGAACAAGAAATTGAATTATAAAACATTTAGCTTTGTAAGAAATAATTTTTTTTTATTATTATACAGCATTTAAAGATAATAAAACTATTTTTAAGATTTCAAATTTGAGAAATCTATGGCAATTTTAAAAAGTGCATTAATCAAGGTACATTTTTAACATACACCCATTGCATAATCTGAATCTATGCAGATTTTTCACGCTATTCTTCCCCTACTAAAGATATAGAACAGTGGTTCTTACCAAGGCGCAACTTTGCCCCCTAGTGGATATTGGCAGTATCTGGTGTAATTCTGGTTGTCATGACATTTAATGTGTAGAGCCCAGAGATGCTGCTTAATGCTACAACAAAGAACTATCCAGAACAAATGTCCATAGTGCCTATAGTTTTCTTAACCCTATAATGTATGACGCAATTCCCAACAGAGAGTAAGAAATGTGCACTGTAAAAATTTGCAGTTGTAAATACTTTTTAAAAGAAAATTTATTAAAAAAAAATCATTACCAAAAGTTAACAGTTGACTGTTAAGTATCAAAATGATACTTTCAGAAAGGCTGAATCACAAAATCAACTTAGAATGACAGAAATTAGGATATACAGTTGGCCCTCCACATCTGTGTTACATATCCAAGGATTCAATCAACTGTAGATTAAAAATATTTGGAAAAAAAATCATGTGTATTAAACGTTTCCTTGCCATTGTTTCCTAAACAATATAGTGTAACAACTCTTTATGTAACATTTACATTATTAAATAATCCAGAGATGTTTTAAAGTGTAAGGGACGATGTGTGTAGATCATAGGCAAACTAACGGACTTAAACATCTGCAGATTTTGGTATGAAGGGAGTCCCAAAACAAAACCTGTGTGGATACCGAGAGTTGGCTGTGCACAGGTTTCCTTAAACCTGCTCTGACAGTTTAATCTGTTAATAAGGAATGTTTTAAAGGATCTAAGCAAACAGTTTTCTTTGCTCATTTTTCTGGACTATGATACAAATTCATTTATATATAAAGCACCAGGCCAACAGCAAGCAGAGTGTTCTGAAAATATTTTTCAGAATATAAAAAAAATGAAGAACTTTACTATTTCTTCAATTTGTCATAACCCTGTATTTGGACAGTTCACGTTTTATTTGCTCTCTCATTTTACAATTCTCTCATAAATGTTTTTTACAAATAACAGTGCATGTAGATGGGGTGTGAAACAAAATTATATGCCAACTGAATTTTTTCCCCCACACAAACTCTGGTTGTAATGTATCCAAATATCATGAAACTTGTCCTAATGGGGAATCCAATTTTAAAACAACAATAAAACCATCCTAAGTTTACTAGATAAGGAAAATTTTCAATAATCATTCATTTACACATTCACAGTCTATGTATTTTCTCGTGGTCAACAAACTGATTCAAATGATTCAGGTTATCCCACCATTTAAAGAGAAATGTGTCCACAATAATTTGAAACCATGGAGTAACCTTAATTTCACCACTGGCTGCTTTTTTCATAAGTTCTTTTAGTTCTTCCTTGGATACATAAAAATAGCTTTTAATTTCATTGGGATCTGGATTCAAAGTTACATTCTTCTTCATAAACAAAATATAATCAATTTCATGTTCACCCCAGATACCATCAGATTGTGCCTTGTAGTGAATTCGTGTTAGATAATTCATTTCTTCTGGAGGAACCTAGGATGTAAAAAGAAATATTAAAACCTCAACAAGAAGTAATCCAAAATTAACTCACCACATTTCATCAATATCTTGAACAGCAGTACAGTTGTAGCATTAAAAATTCTAAAGTATTATTCTCTTATTGAGGATAAATGGAAAAATTATTACATTGTTTCATGTTTTAAATTTTTTTTCATAGAACCAAACATAGTTGAATTTTTTTTCAAAAAATTTTAGAAACATCACAATTCATTCCAATATTATGTGTAACACACCAATTGGGAGGCTAAGACAGAAAGAGCACACCAGCCTTAGAGATTTAACAAGGCCCTCAGCAACCTAGCGAGACCCTGTCTCAAAAAATTAAAAGAGCTGGGGATGGAGCTCGGTGGTAAAGCACCCCTGGGTTCAATCCCAGTACCCCCCTGGCCTAAAAATGGCTGGGGCTGGGGCTGAGGCTCAGTGGTAGAGTACCAGCCTTGCACATGTGAGGCACTGGGTTCGATCGTCAGCACCACATAAAAATAAACAAATAAAGGTATTGTTAAAAAAAAAAAAAAAAAAAGAGGAAGTCCATTAGAGAAAAGGAAGAGGATGAGGGAGAGGGAAGGGGAGGGAATAGTACTAGACATTCTAATAGAGAAAAATGTTATTTGCTTCTATGAATATGTCAAAATGAACCCCATTATTACGTATAACCACAATGCACTAAAAATAAAATTACTTAAAAAAACAGTAGTTAAACTAGAAATATAACATTCATGTTTTAGATTTACTTTTGGAGAAAAAATTTACCATTTTAACTAGATGAGACAGTCATACTCTTTATTTACCTAGGTGTTTTTAAATAGAATGGGGTCTAAATTAACTAAAATATATTCCACGTTTGTATAATTATATCAAAATGGATCCTACTGTCAAGTATAACTAAAAAGAACCAGTAAAAATAAACAAATACATAGGACAACAGCAGGGGTAAAAAGGGTTTTTTCATGGCTTTTGTTTTTGGAACTAGGGATTGAACCTGGGCACTATACCACTGAGCTACACCCCTAGTCCCTTTTTTGAAAAATTGAGACAGTCCTGCTAAGTTGCCATGGTTGGCCTTGAACTTGTTATCCTCTTGCCTTTACATCCTGAATAGCTGGAATTATAGGTGGTACCACCATGCCTGCAAACTGAATTATTTCAATTTGCACAACCAGATTTGTAGTTCAAGATTCTACAATTTCCACAAGAAAATAGCCACTTTGGGGGGAGGGGTACTAGGATTGAACCCAGGGGTGCTTTACCACTGAGCTCCATCCCCAGCCCTTTTAATTTTTTGAGACAGGGTCTCGCTAAGTTGCTGAGGGCCTTGCTAAATCTCTAAGGCTGGTGTGCTCTTCCTGACTTAGCCTCCCAAGTTGCTAGGATTGCAGGCATGTGCCACCATACCTGGCTCCATCATTGTTTTTTTTTTTTTTTTAATATTTATTTTTTAGTTGTAGTTGGACACAACACCTTTATTTCACTTATTATTATTTTTTTTATGAGGTGCTGAGGATCGAACCCAGGGTTTTGCACATGCAATAGAACCGCTGAGCCATAACCCCAGCCCCTCCATCATTGTTTTGACCAATTAGTCAATTTTATAGACTGATTAATAAATCAACTGATTTCAGTACTGAGTGAAATGCTGAGAAGTGATATTAAGAAATCAAAATTTAAATAATGTTCTTTATTCAAAAATTGTGTTGGGTTAGAAGAGTAGTTCAGTGGTAGAGCACTTGCCTAGTATGTGCAAGGTCTCAGGTCCCAGGTTCGGTCCCCAGTGATGCCAAAAGAATTTTTTTTTTAGTTGCAGGTGGACACAATATCCCCGTTTTATTCCTTCATTTTTGTATGTGGTGCTGAGGATCGAACCCAGTGCCTCACGCATGTAAGGCAAGCGCTCAGCCACTGAGCTACAACCCTAGCCCCCCAAAGAATTTTTAACATATATTTTTAAAAAAGTCTTACTATACACTTATTTTTCAGCTTATATAACTGCTCAATAAAGTTGGTTACCTCTTCCAAAGGAATTCCTAATTCAGCTTTCAAACGCCTCTGTGCTGCTCGCCTTACACCGATGGCACCATTTTCTTCCAGCTCCCTTGGATTACTTAATGGATGACTACAACAAGTGTTGGTAAAACAACCTGGAAAATGTTAATACAGGTATAAATTAACTTTTCTTCAAGGTAGGTATGAAAGATCAAGAAAAAGTTTTATGAATTAACAGGTAAATAAGTTAAAAGATCTTATAGGGTTTTAAAATCAGTTATAATGGGCTATCAGTAATTGTTTTGTAAAATGGACATCTGTAGGTAAGATTTTTATTAATGCCTCCTTAACTGAAAAGACAAAAATTTGTAGAAGACCCAAAGTTTTAGAAAACATATATACAGGGTTGGGGATATACCTCATTTGGTAGAGTGCCTGCACAAGGCCCTGGGTTGGATCCCCAGCACCACAAAAACAAAACAAAACAAAACATTATACACACACACACACACACACACACACACACCCCTATCCCTTGAGTATATATTCTTTATTGCTGTTTAATTAGGCTGCACACATTCTGTAAGTTTATTTTATGTAGAATATTAAATTATGTCATTCCCAGGATTTTCCTTTTTGACATAGCTCCAGGAAGTTTGGTGATAAAGAATAAAATATAGAGTTCCCAAAAATCTACCTTGTACATTAAGTGTACTAACCTGGAAAGGTAATTTTAGCATCTGATCTCTGCTGTATCAGAAGCTTATTTTCAGTGTTAAATAAGAAGAAACTAAAAGCACGATGTAATAATCCTGAAAGCAAAAGAAATACCATTAGTCAAAAAATACCAATTATTTGCCCAATTATCTCCTTGCAATTCAGAATACTACTAGCAACTTGCTACCATTTTTGCTTTTTTTCCCATAGTCTTCTACCTTTGAATAATCTTTGTGCTATAATGGAGAAGAGTTCTGGCATACCAGCAAGGAAGTTAGCTGCCAAGTGAAAGAAATAGTGATCTTGGCAGCTTTGCTACAGGCCAAATGTTTTTTCAGAGATATTCAGCTTTGGCCATTAGTCTTCTGTTATTGGGGGAGTTGTGAAGACACATGCACCCCTTTACAATACCTGCCTCTCTCCATTCATTAGAAAGAAAGGCTTAAAGGCTCAACAGGTATAAATTAGTCTATTCCCAGTTTTACACGAAACCTGTATAGCAAAAGACATGAAGTGGAAATAGCTATTAACCAAGGAAGGCAGAAAGGCAGATTTTTATTATATCACATAACTGGAATCAAACATAAGATACAGGATTAAGAATTGCATCTCCTAGGGCTAGGAATATGTCTCAGTGGTGCAGCACTCCCCTGGCCTTTCCCCTCCACCACGAAAGAAAGAATGAATCTCCTTTACCAGAGTACTTTTCTCAGCTAACCTGAAATGCCCAGAAAATAATAATAATACCTTTGTCAATGTTTTCATTCAAGTGGCAATTCTTCTTGGTGTCAGCCCCAATTTTATTGTCATTTTCATCAATAAGAATACACATCTCTGCAAGGAGTTGGACTTGTTTCTCATCTAGATGATTGGTGTTTATTTCAGGCATTGTTACAAATTGTCTGATCTTTCCTAAAACACTAATATTAAGAGAAAGAAAGTCCATTATATCATATTTCTGAATGTCATAGAACCCTAGTGAAGGAGCAGTTCTAGATCTGAGCCCAATAATGAATTTGGCCATTTCACGGATTATCAATTATGACTGCTGCTCCAATCTGCAGCCTTGCCACTCTTCATCTCACTGGGCTCCTGCAGGAATGCTGCTGGCCCACTGGTCAGCCCTATTTTGACCATCATTTTTCCTACCGATAATCACAGCTGATCACTTACCACAATCATTCTCTTAACTGCCAACTCAACATCCTACTCCAATTCTTCTTCTTCCTTTTTCTTTTCTTTTTTTGCGCTGGGGATTGAACCCAGGGCCTTGTGCATGAGAAGCAAGCACTCTACCAACTAAGCTATATCCCAGCCTTCTACTCCAATTCTTGACTTGAGATTCTGTAGCACTTCATAGACAGTCTTTCTTCCTTTGTATGCCCCTCTTCCTAAGGAGTCTTGTTCATCTATGATGCAGCCCCAACCTATTTTTTTTTTTTTACACTGACTTCTGGATTCCGTGTTTCCAGAGTCAAATATTTTTGCCATTCCCTGCCTCTACAAAGCTGCTCAAGAATGCTGCATACCAATGTTTGCTGAATTCACTTTTCAATGCTAAACATTCCAAAACTTTTTACCAATGTCCCAGTGAGATTTAATTCAGTCTTTTTCAATCTGGGCTCCTAATTAGTAAAATAATTTGTGTGACTGTTTCAATAATACTTCCACAGCTAATTTCATTCTAAATAGGCGAAATTTACTATATTCAATGGATGTCATTGCAGCGCTTGGCACTTTTTTTCTATAATGGGCCAGACATTATCAACTCTGTTTTTGTAGACTAAGCAATGCAAGAACTAGGTAATGCCCCAAACACACATAACGTGTACACTAAGCGTGGTTGTGTTCCAATCAATCCATTTATGGAAATTGATATCTGAATTGCACTTAAATTTCGTGTTCCAAAGTATTTTCTTTTGATTCTTCTTCATTTAAAAATGAGAACATTTGAGCTCATGGGACATAACAAAAACTGGCAGCAGGCCAGATTTTGCCCTGCAATCCAGACTCATTTAGGGTACTGTAAATCACCCGTATATGATTTAAACTTAAAACTGTTAATATGAGCCCAGGATGCTCCCAATGAGCAACTCTTCTCCCCTTAACCAGTTATTAAAGCGCTTTCTACACTTTCCTGCAAAGTCTAAAATGCCTAAAGCTAGAAGAACTTGTTCCATAATTTCCGATACACACACTCTCACTCCTTTAAAACAGGCACACGGATACCAAGACACAAAACCTGCAAGCCCGCCCTCCAACTGGAGGAGCAAGGCTGGACTGACCTCCTCCTGCCAGGGCAGACAAGTGAAGGCGCCCACGCTGCAGTAACCCAGGGGTTCAGGCCGGTTCCGCAGGGGACGCCGGACTTCCCGTACCAGCCCCAGCATTTCTCTAACCATCTTCCCCGCAGCACAGGGAGCCCAGGCGGAGTCCGCAGCCGCGGCGCGGGGGCCACCAAACCCTGCCCAGTCCCTCCCGGTCCACGCGCCCACCGCCGTCCCCGTCGACGCCGACTCCCACGGCTGGCAGTGCTGCCTGCCCCAGAACCCACCCGCCTGCAGCCGGGCACCCGGGGCCCAGGGGGAGTGGGCGCCGCGGTGACCCAAATTCCGCGGCTCGCAGAGTCCCCACGCCCCGTCCTGTGCTCCCAGTCCACCCCGCAACCTCCCACCCATGCCAGCGTACCTCAGGCCTGAGATGCGAGCCGGCCCAGGAGCGCGCCCCTTTTGAGCTCGGAGAGCAGCGCTCGGCGCTCCCTGGCTCCGCCCCGGAGCCGCGCGCCCAACCACTTGCACCAGCGCCCTCCCACACCACATGCTCTGGCCAATCGCAGCTCGCGCCCGCCTGACGTCACGGCCGCGCTAGGCTGTCGAGCGGTGGTGCCACTTCTCCTGACCGCGGTTTCCGGAGACGCGCCGGAGCCTTCGGGGAGCGTGGGGACACCTTCTCTGAGAGCCTGAGGCCATACGGACCTCGGAGGGAGGCTGAGGTGGTCAATGGACCCTGCGACGCCGCTGAGGAGAAGCCCCGCAAGCGGGCAGGCGCCTGGCTGCCACTCGCCCGCCGACTGCCAGCCAATCGTGCCCCAGTGCAAGCCCGTCGGCAGGAGGCGGGGGAAAGGGCGTGGCCGGGGCCCTGCTGGGGTACTTGCTGACGTCAGGTGCCTCGGAGCTGGCAGCCAAGTCCTGCCCACGCCCGCTCCTACCTGGAGAGGGTGAGCGGAGCTTGGGCGCCCCCAGTGGGCGTGGGGCGTGCAGTCCGCGGTTCTGGAGAACGCTTGCGGAGGGCGGCACGGGACTTCCGCCAGGCTAGGTTGATGGAAGTCAGGGAAAACCCAGGAGTCACCGTTCAGGGTCCATTGAGAAGACTCACCTCCCGCCCCACGAGTGATCGTTGAAGAATTTTTCTCCACTGTTTTACAACAGTGATATTTCCTAGTTACTTTGCAACTGGAGAACAATTGTTTAGCAAAGCTGAGGGACAGAGAGGCAGGTTGGGGAACGTTCTACACTGGGTAGGATTAATTTGGCACCCTATTAAGCCCTAAGGTGGCAATCATTTTCTCATGAGAATAAATTTAAGATTACATGTGAAATTGTTTGTAAATTTTAAAACAACCATGAAATGTACAGAGTTGAAATAAAACTTATTTACTGTTCTGAGAAGTTAAAAATATTGAACTTGTCACCTAATCATGTGTGGTTCACCACTTCTCAAACTTTTTGATCTCTGACACTTTTACACTTAAAATTATTGAGAACCCCCCAAAGCTTTTCCTTACTATTGTTTGTACATGTTTATATTAAAATTAAAATTGGTACATTAAAATATTCACTTAGGAGTAATACCTATATTGCAATTTAACAAGTGACATTTTAGCATAAATAGCATTTTTATGCAATTTTTTTTCCAAACAAAAAAATTCAGAGACTTATTGTACATTTTTTGCAAATCTTAATTTCTGGTCTAGTAGAAGACAGCTGTATATGTTGTATAAGCTGAAATACATAAAGTCTGGCCTCAGAAAGATACATAATTTGAAAATTGAGAAGTATTTTAATAGCTTTCTCAAATGATCGTAGTAACTTTTTTAATACTACAGCAAAACAGGTATGTTAGTTAAAGGTTATTTGCTATTTGGATTCTGAATTAAAATGAACATTTCATATTGTTGTATTAAAATTCATTGATTTTTTTTTTCTTTTGTGGTACTGGCTATTGAATACAGAGCCTTTCACTTGCTAGGTAAGTGCTCTACCACTGAACCACATCCCCAGCCCCCCTCCCCCCCCCTTTTTTTTAAAAAAGACAGGGTCTGAGATGGTATCTTAGGGTGGTTTTGATTTGCGTTTCTCTGACTGCTAGAGATGATGAGCATTTTTTCATGTACTTATTGATTGATTGTATGTCCTCCTCTGAGAAGTGTCTTTTCAGGGCCTTGGCCCATTTGTTGATAGGGTTATTTGTTATCTTATTGTTTAATTTTTTGAGTTCTTTGTATACTCTGGATATTAGGGCTCTATCTGAAGTGTGAGGAGTAAAAATTTGTTCCCAGGATGTAGGTTCCCTATTTACCTCTCTTATTGTTTCTCTTGCTGAGAAAAAACTTTTTAGTTTAAGTAAGTCCCATTTGTTTATTCTTGTATTTAACTCTTGGGCTATGGGCGTCCTATTAAGGAATTTGGAGCCCGACCCCACAATATGTAGATCGGAGCCAACTTTTTCTTCTATCAGGCGCAGAGTCTCTAGTTTGATATCAAGCTCTTTGATCCATTTTGAATTAACTTTTGTGCATGGTGAGAGAAAGGGGTTCAGCTTCATTTTGTTGCATATGGATTTCCAGTTTTCCCAGCACCATTTGTTGAAGATGCTATCCTTTCTCCATTGCATGCTTTTAGCCCCTTTATCAAATATAAGAAAGTTGTAATTTTGTGGATTGGTCTCTGTGTCCTCTATTCCGTACCATTGGTCCACCTGCCTGTTTACTCCAGTAAGATTGGCAGCCATTATGAAGTCAAACAACAATAAGTGCTGGCAAGGATGTGGGGAAAAGGGTACACTTGTACATTGCTAGTGGGACTGCAAATTGGTGTGGCCAATATGGAAAGCAGTATGGAGATTCCTGGGAAAGCTGGGAATGGAACCACCATTTGACCCAGCTATCGCACTTCTCGGTCTATTCCCTGAGGACCTTAAAAGAGCATACTATAGGGATACTGCCACATCAATGATCATAGCAGCACAATTCACAATAGCTAGACTCTGGAATCAACCTAGATGCCCTTCAATAGATGAATGGATAAAAAAAATGTGGCATTTATACACAATGGAGTATTATGCAGCACTAAAAAACGACAAAATCATGGAATTTGCATGGAAATGGATGGCATTAGAGCAGATTATGCTAAGTGAAGCTAGCCAATCCTTAAAAAACAAATGCCAAATGTCTTCTTTGATATAAAGAGAGCAACTAAGAACAGAACAGGGAGGAAGAGCATGAGGAAAAGATTAACATTAAACAGAGACGAGTGGGGGGAGAGAAAGGGAGAGAGAAGGGAAACTGTATGGAAATGGAAGGAGATCCTCATTGTTACACAAAATTACATATAAGAGTTTGTAAGGGGAAAGGGGAAAAAGGAGAGAATTGAATAACAGCAGATGGGGTAGAGAGGGAAGATGAGAGGGAAGGGGAGGGGGGATAGTAGGGGATAGGAAAGGTAGCAGAATACAACAGTCACTAATATGGCATTATGTAAAAATGTGGATGTGTAACCGATGTGATTCTGCAACTTGTATTTGGGGTAAAAATGGGAGTTCATAACCCACTTGAATCAAATGCATGAAAGATGATATGTCATGAGCTTTGTAATGTTTTGAACAACCAATAAAAAAAAACAAAAAAAATTAAAATTAACCAATACATGCAAAATCTACTTTTTGGAATATTGTTCAATAAACGGAAATAGTCTTGCTCTTAAAAAAATAAAATAAAATAAAGACAGGGTCTGGCCAGGTTTCTCAGGCTCAGCCCATAGAGTAACGGAGATTAACAGGCAAGTGACACCATGTGTGGCTGAAATACATTGACTTTGATTGTACCCTTGAATGCATATTTTCTTATGTGTTATTTTGTAATATCATACATTGGTCATTTGCAAAATATAGATTTACCTGAATTAAATAGATCTTCCAAACATTGACATAGATGATGATGATGATGATGATGATGATGATGATGATTTGTGGGGAGGAGGTGTACTGGGGATTGAATGCAGGGGCTCTTGACCAATGAGCCACATCCCCAGCCCTATTTTGTATTTTATTTAGAGACCTGATCTCACTGAGTTGCTTCCATCTTGCTTTCATTGAGGCTGGCTTTGAAGTCACGATCATCCTGTCTTAGCCTCCTGAGCGGCTGGGATTACAGGCGTTCCCCACCATGCCCAGCCATAGTTTATTATTTAATACCAGGTAATCACATTATCACCAGCAATCTCATCAGAAAAGCCTTTAAGTATGGAAAGCTGTCAAGAGCTTGGTGGCAGATACCAGTTCTTTTGTGCAAAAATTCAAATTTCATTATTGGTAGCACACACTGTAACTTTCCTTGAGGTGGTAGGCTTACTTCATTTATTTTCAAGAAAATGTCTGCCAAATACTTTGGTTTAAATACATTTAGTCTATAGTTCTTTCCAGTAAAAATGGTATTTTGGGGAGGGGGACAAAAAACAGCCAGCTATTTAAGCTTAGAACTCAAACATTTTTATGAGAGTTTTCCTGAGGACAACAATCATAATTTAGTGTGTAGCATAACAGCTTTATGCATACTTCCCATTTTGTTATACTGTATTAAAAAAATGAGTATCCCCAGTGGCTTGGGAGGCTGAGGCAAGAGGATTCTGAGTTCAAATCCAGGCTTAGCACCTTAGCAAGTCTCAAAGCAACTCAGTGAGATCCTGTTTCTAAATAAAATACAAAAAAAAAAAAAGGCTTGGGATGTGGCTCAGTGGTTAAGTGCCCTTGGGTTCAATCCCGGATTTAAAAAAAAAATTTATATATATATATATATATATATATATATATATATATATATATATATATACACACACACACACACACACACACACACACATGCAAGGACTGAAATTATTAAAATTAGTATTTTTCTACTGCTTTTTTTTTTAATCAAGCAAGGACAATTGTTAAGTAAAACTGACGTTTTATATTTTTTGCTAAAAGTGCCTGATTTTTTGCTAAAAGTGACTCAATAATGACTTTACAGTTTGGTGGCACTGCCTTCATTAATACAAGATACTGGCAGTTTTATCCCCCTCACCCTCCTTCTCCTATCCCTATCCTCTCCCTGTACTCAGTTCTCAGCTTGCTTTTTCACCTTCGATGAAAATGTCAACACTGTGTAAAGGGTAAATAACATTTTAATGTTGTTATGGAAATAGTATTGACATCAGAGACCTCCTAAAAGATTCTTGAAAATTCCCTGAAATCTCTGGCCACTTTTTGAGAACAAGAGCTCTAAAGCTACTACTTTGAAAAATTCCAGAAAGCACACACACAGCACACATTTCGGTGACCTTCATAAAGAAGATGTCATCTCATTTCCTGCAGTCTCTGGAAAATTTCACTATACGCTCATGACAAATTGAGAGTGAAGAAGGCAGCTAATGCTTTAGTATTGCTGTGAAAATATTCTAAACTTCATAAAGCCCTTGGGAGCTTTCAGAACAGCCACAAGTTACTAGGCCACCTTTTGAGAACTGCAGGACTAGTGGAAAGTCCACTGAATCAGAAGACCTCAGTTCATATCTTGATAAAATTCATGTTGAAAGTCAATCCCCAGGATAGTGGTATTAAGAGGTGGGGCTTTCTGGGATGTGATGAAGTCTTGAGGGCTTTCCCCTCCTGAATATATTAGTGCACTGTAAGGGACGGAGACATTTTTACTTAAGCCTTTCTTTCTTTCTTTTTTTCATTTGGTACTGGGGATTGAACCTAAAGATGCTTCATCACTGAGCTACATCAGCCCTTTTAAAAATTTTTGAGACAGGTTCTTGCTAAGATGCCG